AATATTAGCATATATTATGAAATTACTTAACCATAATAAGTAATATTAGCATATATTATGAAATTACTTAACCATAATAAGTAATATTAGCATATATTATGAAATTACTTAACCATAATAAGTAATATTAGCATATATTATGAAATTACTTAACCATAATAAGTAATATTAGCATATATTATGAAATTACTTAACCATAATTGATTTTTTTTCAAAAATTCCGTGTAGTCTTTTATTTCAAATAATTTTGGCGAATTTTGAAAGTATTAAAATGTACCATTATAAATAAAAAGGATAAAGAGGGAAATAACTGGAATGACTGTATGATAAAACAACGGATAATGAGCAATACAAATGTATTACTTGACCGGATGACAAATAGTGATATACTAATAAAAGTTTAATTATAAAATTTTATTAGTTCTGCCATCCTCTAATCTAATTAATGAAGTTTTCCTGGTCCGTTTTGTTTATAATGCCGTGGATTACTTATTCTGATGTTAAATATGGCAGATTTTAACGCATTTCGGGATGAAATAACAAAAAAAAAAATTTTGAATAATTTGATTTTTCATCCTTTTGTCCGAATTGTTATTTTTGTTCCTGTTAAACTTCAAAAGTGTAGGCCTTATATAGGCCTTATACTGTAAGATATTTAAACAACAATTTTTTTCGACCGTATACTGTTTATCCTTTAAGAATAAATATATTAAGAAAAAATTAATAATGATTTAATGTTTTAATTATAGAAATGAAATAAGTAAAATTGAAGTTTCTTTGTTTCAATCTTCAAAAATTCATTTCATTTCATTCGAAGTGCAAAAAAAAGAGGGAAAATTGGATTATCTTATGTAGTTACACGTCATACAAATGAATATTTTTCCTAATTTTTCCTATTTTTCCATATTTCATATTCACTGTTTTAAATTCTTCAGTTAATTTAAATACAGTAATATCGATTTCTCCATGTTTATCATTTCTTTCATCCCAGATAATTGTTAGAAAATATCATTATCACAAGGAATTTCTCATTTCTCACTGATCTAAGCACCCATTGATTTCCCAATCAAAAATTGTGCTGTGTGTGTGTGTGTGTGTGTGTGTGTGTGCATGTGCATGTGCATGTGCATGTGCATGCATGCGTGAATGCATGTACAGATGAAATAAATGCATTCTTTTCCAGTTATTAAAACTAACAGTTGAATCAACCATTTCGAACACATTCTTAGCTGTATAGAATCTTTTCTTTTTCAAATATTTAGACTATTTCATTTCGTTCAAGTCAATGAATTCCATCTGAACACTCATCATCTCTTCCTTATTCTTCTTACTTTACTGGACTAATGCCAGTTGTTGTTTGTTGATAACAGTAACTTCATTGAACTAACAACAGTATTGATAACAGCAACTCTAATTTGATAACTTGATTCATAGCTGTTAATAACTTGATCTATAGCCGTTAATTTTATCGTGTTAAACCGACTTTGAATCCTGCCAGAAAATCGATAATTGTATGTTTCATCATTAGAGGTTACATCACGTATCGGTTCAAACATGACAACCTAATCCGGCAGTAATCTTAAGTCGACTCCAAAGATATGGAGGAAGGGGGAAGAAATGTTACCGGAACATCCATTTCGGAAAACATCTCCGGAAAAGGAACCGTGTTTCTAACTGCTGTTGGCCAGAAGCCAACTTCCAGAATTTTTGGAATGATCTAGAAAATGCATGGGAGCGATTTTAGGCCAAATGCAGAGGTGTTGAGGGAGAGGAATGTAGGTTGCTTGCGCAGGTAGTGGGATGTTTGGGCAAGTAGTTTGGTTTCAGGGTAAGTGACGGGGTGTTTGGGTAAACATTGGTATATTCGGGTAGGCTGCTGGCTGTACCGAGATAAACAACCGAGATGTTTGGATGGAGATTAATGATTGGAGTAGTTTAATGGGGGACGAGGTATGCAAAAGATACTCCAGTAGGCGGCAAGTTTTTCGGTAGTCTCGACTGAGAGTTTCATATGTTCCATACACCACTCTGCTTACCTGATTCAAAAAAAGCATAGATAACTGACGATAAGTGCATATATCGGACATGTCGCAACGTGAGATGTGTGTAAAAACAAATGTTGGTGTAGGCAAATATAAATTTCAAGGCAATATAAATTAGCTTTAATGTTTTAAATTTACGGTTTGTTTGCAGCAACAACCGTGAAAGCATTGACTTTAAAGCTAAACTTATAAACATAGATAAAAGAAGTTAACGTAAGTGTTTCAGGAGTTTCTGTGAACTCACTGTTTATATCTATATTTGTAAATTCACTTAGTTTATAATCTCTCACTTTTATCATTGTTTCAGTTCCTTTTTTGGAATCAATTTTTTTTTCTAAAAAAGTGAATTCAAGGTCTTAAAGTTTTGTTAATATATATTCTAACGCTGCATCGATCTTGTAATATTCTCATGCTTTTAAATTCATGACCGCTTTTTTTTGAACGTGACAGTAGTTGAAAGATTTTAAACCATAAATTTCAACTAAAATATCTTTGTTTAATTTTATGGAAAAGAATCTCTCAACAGTTGTACTTTTTTTCATGACGCTTTGCATACCCAGTATCTTACTTGCAACCGCCCTTATCTTTCTTAATAATGTTGAAATAATAGGTATAGGAGCTACGGTATCGTAACACCCAGCATCACCGTGCATTTTACATTAATATCACTTATAACATAGCCTGGATGAAAATTAAAGCCAAATTTAAGTTTTGAATTTCTAAATTTTGATCTAGTTGAAATTTGCTATATTTGTTTCGAATTGCTACGATATTCGTTGAAAGGATATTGCAAGCACGCAATAATATACGATGGCAAATAGAAAAAAGGTAATTACGCAGAAATAACTCAACGATTCGTAAATTATGTGCAGGAAGTGGATTTTAACTCAGATTTCTGGAAAACTCTTCCAAATATATTTTGTCGGTTCCCACGGTAGTTTAATTAACAAATGTGTTGAATAAATGGGATGATTCACAAATTTGTAACTCCTTTAGGCAGTTGAAAGAAGTTGCTCTGCTACTAAACATAAGGTCATTAAGACATCAGATCATTAAAATATCATCAGAAAATATGAGAAAATCAATCCTGAAAAAATGAAGAATAAGCTTCAGTGACAATTAAAATAGGAGATGGAAATTTTCGAAACCTTTTTTCTTGACCGTTTCTTGGTTTTAAGGCTGAAATTGAATCTAAGGTTGAAATGGAATCAACATCAATGGCATGCAACAATTCGTTGAAGAAACTTTGCGAACAATATGATCAAGAAATGGCCGACATTGAAGTAGATCTTGACATACATGTCAGCATTTCCTTCATTTGGGTATGGGCATGATAGCAAGTAAAGAAACACAGATTCATGCATACGTACGTTTAGTAATAAAAAAATTTACGATTTGATATCGATTATACGTCTCGTATTATTCCTGCATAAATTGTTTCTTTCCTATGTTGTGTTAAGAACTCATTTTTTTCTTAAAAATGTTTCAGCCGGGAAGAAGAGAAGGCGAGAAAGGTTTTTTTTCTTTTTTTTCTTTAAATACTATTTCGAGCTAATTATTGCTGTTTGAACCATCTCAGGATAAACTTATGAAGCTCATGAGGGAAAACCGTACAACCAACGAACAGGAATTGTCATCAATGCAGAAAAGCACGGGACAAACGGAAAAAGAGTTGCAGCTGCTGGATGAGAAGACAAACGAGCTCGTTCAATGGTTTTTTTTTCAAATGCACATGTATAACTGACAAACTTTGTAATTTGATCCTTTTCAGGTTTGATCAGTTTGATTTTTTAGTACTAATTCACAAGGCGAGAAAATCGAAGAATTGAAACGCGTGCAACAAAAAATCATAGATGGTATCAATGATGGTTGGTAAAGTTTCCGGATTTCTACAGGAGCTTCCATTTGTCAAAGATGTAGTTTAGAAACTTTTTCGAAACATTACGGGGGAAGGATTTTCGAAACATTGATGGATTCGTATTCGCATCCTGATATCTTATTTTACATTTTGCAAATGCAGTCCCATATTCACGTTCTTAAGACACGGCATATTGTTATGATGCCAGTAATTCGGATCATTCAGGACTTAATCGATTACATCCCAAATACTCAAACGTTTTTTAAACCATGGCCAGTTTGGATGAAGTTCTAGAACTAAAAGGATATGATAATAGCTTAGTAGGATGTAATCCGCTATATTTTTTTATCGAACACTTTATCTGAAGATATTCATATTCAGCTGGATGATGTACCTTCAAATAAATCTACACAAGAAACATACTACGACGACGATATTTTAATTTATATTCTGAAAATTTGAAATAGCAGATAATGAATATTACAGTGCTGGAGTGGTGAACTAAGTAGATACTGGACCAAACAGCTTATGCAGCATTTGCTCTATAACTTTGTAGATATGATGATCATATTACTGCCAGATTATTTTGACTATAAATAATAAAATCATGAGTAATGGATAAAGACTTGAATGTGATTATGAATAATAAAGTATAAAATTATGGACGGTATATATTAGTATGTGCTCAGTGACTGGATGCTATTGAAATAACTTGTAAGACTGTAATGAAGAGAAATAACAGTAAGGTTCTCAAGAAATCTCACTCTCCTACGATTCCTCATTACGGATTTTCCATACTTCCTTTATTGATATTGTGAGTACAGATTTATTTAGTGTGAATATAGAGTACTAGCGTATAAATACCTATAATAATAACAGGGTTATGTACTTCTAGCACAACACTGTTTGCTTACCGCTGAGAATACTGCTCGGGATGATCTAGAAAAATTGCATTCGACGGAAACAAATGCTCGGAAATTTCTAGAAAGCAAGTTGGCTTCAGCAAAATTTGCTGAAGGTAATAAAATAATTTTTTGAGGAATTGTTACTTTTTTTGAAGGATTGTTACTTTTTTTGGAGGACTGTTAATTTTTTGGAGGATTTGTCAGTAATAAAAAGCTTTATTTCATTTTTCCTCATATGATTTTAATATCGAATAGCTTCCAGTTACCTTAAAATTGCAAAATTACCAGAAAACGTTCTCTTCGAAGGTGCAAGAATCAATCGATCGTTTAGCTTCAGTGGTTCGTCTACTTCTTGATGTTATTTAATATAAATTTATTTCTGTTTTTTTTTTTTTTGTATAGTAGTAAGTTTAAAGTTTTTTAATTCAATAGAATAAATTTATGAAGTGAATAATGTATCAAGGTTATTCCAGGTTGCAAAGTTATTGACAGTAAGTTTAGTAGTTCAAAATGAGTAAGCGCCAATTTGATTAATATGCGTGAATGGAATATTTTTGGTCTTAAAATCATTTAATAATGTAGAGAAAAATGATATGTGAGGTATTCTTGGGGATTTATTATGCATCAGATAATAGTATTAGAGCTGTAATAGTATGTGTTTGGTCCCTTATATCGAATTGTTTGCTTAGAAATCAATTGCGGATGAAGCTGATCGCCTGGAATACCTTGAGAAAGTCTTAAAAGATATGAGAATGGATGCCGGGAATTTGGAAGGACAAATTGGTAAGTGTTGCCAAACTTTAAATAAGTACATTCTTTGGTTCTTAGTTATCTCATATTAAATCAAAATTGTTATAAGTCCTAAATTCAGGCGAAGTTGATGCTCAGTGTTCAGTTTGTCATAAGAAAATCGTTAAGTTGCATGTGATACAAGAAGAAGAAAAGCAACGACGGAGCGCTATATCGGAAAAGTATAAACAACGTAAAAAGCGTGTTGCGGAACTTACACGTACTCTTAACAGTCGTAAGAACGATAAGAAGTTGCTTTCTGAAAGAATGAATTCTAAGGAGCTGGAACTGGTTGGTGTTACATACTTTTGCAAAGATAATACGAGGCGAGGCGCAATTTCTTTTTCTTGATGAGATTTAGGGATGAAATCTGATATTATTCTGTAGTAATCGCTGACTCTGTTATTATTCTAATTTGTGTTTTTTGAAGAAATTTTTCTCAGTGACCAAGTCTCCATTTGTATCTATTATAGAACAAAAACAAGGAGCGTTTTGAAAAGAAAAATGCCGACGCTGCAACTATTCAACAAGAAGTAGATACAATAAAGGACAAATTAGCCAAACTTGAAGACACTATGAAATTTGAACAGGAGAAGCACGAGCAAAAAGTTCAGGAAATTAAGGTTCATGAACTTCTCAGACTACTCAGACTACCTTCAATCAGACATTGTCTTAATCAGATGGATGATATTTATAAAGTCTCTTTTAAATACTCATGTATGCTCATTTAAACGCGCTCTTATGACAAGCTTCGGAACAGTCAGGTGGTTCTAATGATTATGCTCCCTTAGATTCTTATATAAAAATATTTTGCATTTCGGCATTTCTTTTTAATTTTCACCTTCATTTGCAACTTTCTTTCACAACTTATTGTGCAGGAGGCAGGTGAAGCTGATATATGTGCTACAAAGTCAGTCTTGATGACTCTATGTGAAAAGGAAAGCGCACTGCTCGTGCAGGTAAATAGCAAAGATTTTTGTTTTCTATTTAGTTTTCTCATATGAACCATAAGGACTCCATAGCATCTGTCATATATTTATCATTTGTCAAAACTTCATCTGTTTCTGTATATATTCTTATGTTATTGTTATAATATAAGAAACTGTTAAGATTCAACAAGCTCGTGATGATCTCAATAAAAAATCAGAATGGGAGGCACATAAGAAAATCAACGAAGAAATGGAACGAAATTTGGAGCAGCTGAAACAGGAGAAAGCGCAACTTCAGCTTGAACTTAAAGAGAAAGAAAACCGTCGTGATGCACAAGTTTAAAAAATTTTTCTACTTGATCAACTGTTAATTGCTTATCATCAGTCTCTCATTCAAGGTATGGGTGGGTTTAAACAGATATGATGAAAAATTTTCCAAAACAATATTTTTCAAATAGCTGCAGTGATTTTTCACGATTTATTAAAATTCGAATGTGATGAATTACAACAAATCATACTTCAGCTTTCTGGAATGAAAGCTGTGAAAAGCGCTTTTCAAGAGAGTAAATTGGAAGCTTCGAAGAAACGTGAAATTTTGATGGGGGAAGTGAAGCGCATGAGTGAAGAGATTCTGGGCTTGAAGCATAAGATCGTGGTAAGTTAGCCCTTGATACGCATACTTTGTTGATATCAAAAAAGTAGTCTTTGTATTGATAGTTTTTTAAGTGTAAATAGGGTTTGTGGGATTTATACTTACATCTTCGGCATTTGTATTACATAAATATGAATGAGAAAGAATTACTTCCGCTTCATGGAATCTTTATCATTATTTTATAAAGAAGGAAGAACAACGCCTTAAGGCTAAACGAAATGCAGTAGATAGACAGTTAAAGATGGTAACTGTTAGCAAGAATATTGGTGCACGTATACGCTGCGCTGTTGAAAACGAGAAAAAATCTCGACAAGATGGCGCAAAAGCAGTACATGAATCTTCTCTGACAGGTCAAGAAGGAGCAGATCAGAAACCACAGAGAACAGAATCCGGCAAGGTTATTTCCAGTGTTTTTTGAATTTGATTTAACTTGTATTACATTTTACTTAGATCACTTCAGTATTTCTATTCGTGAAGATAGTACCTTTTTTTATTGACTTACTTGATTAATAGATATCGATGATTTGTTTAAATCTTTTTTTCATTTTTAAATGAGCGTTTTTGAATTCTGGTGCCACTGCTGTGAATCTAGAGAGTAATGCTAAGAAAATATTTACTCAAACATTAGAAAGGTAGAAACAGAATTTCATGCCTTTTACCTGTCACAAAGTTCGAATTCCATTTTCATGGATAGGGAGAGAAGAGTGAGGATATCAAGGCAGAGAAGTTTGGCGGCGAAAAAATGGTTGTTCGGGAAACCGATTCTCGAAAACTGTTTCCAGAAAAAAAGTCTGCCGAAGATGAGAAAGTTTGTTAAATTCTGTATATATTTTTAAAATTTTTTTAATTTAAAGCAGTTTTGCAAATTCACAAAACTGGAACGTTGTTACCAGCCTTTCTTTTCTGTTAGCTTTAGCTTTTTTTTCATTAATTAGTTAGGTTTCAGGCGAACTCAACTTTTGTCGTCTCAGAAATCAAAGAACCATTTCTTGCTTCTAAAGGAAATGAAAGACGAAGTGAAACACAAATGCTAAGCGCTGGACAGGAAGGTCTCATATCCTTCAAATATCGAAGTACCATAAACATGAACATTGTAGTTTGTTCCACGCTCTTTACTTGAATACCAAAAATTTTGTTTTGCTTTCAGAATCGAAATTGTTCCAACCCACCACAAAGTGTAAGGCATCAAGATACGATTTTGTAAGGCAGAGTCTCTCAGTTTCGGACACTCTGCCAACTGCGTCAGGATCGTCAAAAATAAGTCGCCAGGCTCGGAAAAAACGTAAGCCAGAAGAAGCGAAGACAGCTCAGTAAGCCAGTTTTTGTTTGGTCTCTAACCTCGTATTTATTCATCAGGTCGTAATTGACGCTATTAAGAACGTGTCATTTATGCCGTGGTTTTTCCAGCGATTTGGCTCTCACACTTTTTGATAGTGACGTGTCGACGAGCACCATCAAACCGATGTATGCCTCGACTCCACTGCCTCAGAAGTATTTTTTTTTTCATAGAAGTCTTGTGGCTCATCGACACTTTATTAATTCATTAAACTTAAGGTCATGGATTGCACTTTCAGAAAGGATGAGTCTTTGTTTCACACTGATGCAGTGAACGATAAGCAAAAGAAGCGTGGAAGGCCGAAGGGGAGAAAAGTGAATTTGCTTTAATATTGCATCTGTTCATATGGATGAAAATCAATAAATGTAAGCAGTGAAGTAAATGATAAATCATTAAGTGATAAGCAGTGTTTTCAGGCCGCAAAAGGAACACTTCCTGAGAATGATAATTCGAAACTTATGAAGAAGAAAGACGCTTATGATTTGGACAGTGATTTGGACTAGATGAACTTGATAAGCTAATATTTTATTTTCCTCGGCGTATTTCGACAGTTCTTGATGTTACAAGATTCGAGTCCATATATTTCTTGATTTTTTAGTCTTTAACATGCTTTATGTGATTTTACGTCACGTTTACTTTAACTTTTGCTGTTCAACATTAGCCGTATTTAGTTTAGTATTGCTGACTTACTTAATTTAAATTATTCGAATCAGTTATGTATTTGATTATGTGGCTTATTTAAGGCAATATTTTCAGAATGGTAGCCTTAATGGTAAGAGGCGGAATCAAGCTTTGTTTATCTGCAAAAGGCATCGTCATTTTTTTTTATTGAACTGGTTTGAGTTTGTAAGTGTTTTAACCGTGTTTGATTTTCTTCTGTTGAATAAAGTTATTTTTTCGAAATTTTAAAGCAAAACTTGATGAGAAATTCGAATTGTTCATATAACGCACCTATCATAAACATGCAAACTTGGTAAAGCTTAGTATATGTAGTGTTGTCAGGGAAAGTAAATTTACTTTCAGCAACTGCCTGACTTTGGCCTATATCACATTTCTAAAAGTAAGCGGAAATTCATGAATAACGAAATCTGGAAAGTTTATCAATAATCCTCTTTGATGTTGCGATCAATTTTCAGCCTATGTGCATAATGTTACTACGGATGATGTATGATGGGTCATTAAATTAATATTTGCTTTACTTTTTACATGGATTCATTAAATTTTAAGATTTTTGTTTTGACATTTTTCAGCCAGAAATTGGAAATCGTATCAAGATACATGTTGCTGAAAAAAGGAAGACTTGTGTGCGCATATCTGTGTTAAGTGTGCTTGGGTGCGTGTTTGTGTGTACGTGTTTAAATGCAGCCTTCTTTAGCCTAAAATGGTGGTTTACTTAGGAAAGCAGCAACTTTCAATCTCTCCTTAAAGCAGAGAAATCATTATAAGACTTATTTTGGATTCTGATAACGAGATGTTTTGTATTCTACTTATACTAAAATACGTAAATAGCGTATTTAACCATCAGAAGAAATAGTTACCAATTTATTATGCTCATAAATCAATGTTTGATTATTTAGTGACCATTTGTAGAAAACCATAGAATATATCATTGAAAGATAATATAGAGAGTTCCTAATACGTTAACGATATAAATGCTAAACGAATGATTTGAAATGAATAAATCATACTTGTGTCACCAAATATTATATTGCTTTCTCGATTACTATGGGATATTTTTCTAGTCAAATTTCGGAAGAGGCTTAGAAATCTTACAACACAAACAATTCGAATTTTATCTGCGAATAATGCAAATACATGAATATCTGGAGCAAATATAGAAATGTTAGTGTTGATATGACACATTTGATTTCTGTCTTTTTTAATTAAGAAAATGACTTGTTAATACGTGAATTCGCAGGCAAACAAACACGAACATATCCTTGCTACTAAAAAAGCTAAAACGTTGGAATTTCAGAAAACTTAAAAAGTTAAATTTGATTTGCTCAAGTAGAATTTTCAACATTACATGAAATAGAATGAATTATAAGTGAAATCATGATGACATTCATTTCATCGACGTGTGTTAGGTCGATATTTTTTACAAGATAAAAAGTATGTAACATGACCTCTCAACTTCAGGAATATAGTTTATAACTACAGTTACAAAAATAAAATCATCTTAGTAAGCAGATTCTAAAAGAGGGGGATCTTTACTATCATTAAATTGATAAACTTTTTGATAATAGCCACATTATACAACATCATGATACCGAAGTTAAGATCATAACATATCCAATTTTTGCATTAACTGATTCATGAAGTCATGAATTTGAGGTTCGTCTGCCGGGCAATGTGTCTTTCGTAATAGATCCTTAAATGTATGCTATTTAAATAATTTAGCATGAAAGCTTGTAATAGTATCATATCAAAAAAAGGATTATTATTAAGCATTATTTATCAGTTAAGGAATCCTAAAAGCTTTTACAAATTCTCATTACAACAATAGAATGGCCTTATTCACTCTCCTCCTCTCTCTCTCTCTC